ACCGTCTTTAAAAAAAATTTTTTTTTTATTGAAACTGATTTATCCTGTTACCGTTCATACGGCCTGAGCTGCCAAGCCTGGTGCAATTCTGTGTTGTAAAGCTAATTGGACAATTAACTTGGAAGAAGCACACTTTTTTAGCCTTTGAATTAACAACAGTGCCAACACATTAGAAAACTCCAAGGGTGAGAACTGTTGCAAAACAGGCACTTGATTATATATCAGAAACTGTGCACTGAGCACAAATAGAGACTTGGGAAGCTCTTTTCTGTTGTGCGAATTAGTTGAATCCGCTCAGATTTCAGACTCTGATAGGGATCATCAACCCACTTTGGATAAAGGGCTGAGAGTAGAATGGCTACTCCTCACAAATTCTAACAATTTCCAACAGAACAAGTTCTAGTCTTGTTTTAAAAGAAAACCTTTGAGTACCTTGAATATAGAATGAATAAGGAGAATGTTTATCACCCTGGAGAAGTGGGGGTGGTGGTGGGGAATAACAGGTATTTGTTTTCTCTCTGAGAATAAATGGGGTAACTAGCATTTACAGTGCTTTTTAGGACAAATCTATGTTTGTGGTCTTAATGAGGAATGGAATGTAACTTACAAGTAAAAGTAGCCAATTGAAGAACTTTTCGTCTACCCCTTTTTCTCTCTTTGTATGCCAGGCTGCCTAGTTTTTATAATGTCTCAGTTTACCCATCTATAAAATGGGAATTGTATTAGTTTTCTTTTTTTCTTTTAAATTTGGTTTTTAATGGTCTCAGGAATAGAACCTAGTGATTCATCACTTACATATAACACCCAGTGCTCATCCCAACAAGTGCCCCCAAAGCCCATTTGTTTAGCCCATCCCCCCAACACCCTCCCAGCAACCCTGTTTGTCTCTGTATTTGAGTCTCTTATGGTTTGCCTCCCTGTTTTTATCTTATTTTTACTTCCCTTCCCTTATGTTCATCTGTTGAGTTTCTTCAATTCCACCTATGAGTGAAATAATATGATCTTCACCTTTCTCTGACTTGTATTAGCTTTTTATTGGGCACAGATTTAGCAGCTTAACACAGCACCCATTTATTTGTTCATGGTTCTGTAGGTCTGAAGACCCAGAAGGCATGGCTGGGTTCTCTGCTTGGGTCTCAGGAGGCTGAAATCAAGGTGTCTGCAATGGCTGTGATCTCATCCGAGGCTTGGGGTCTCTTCCATGTTCATGTGGTTGTAGCAGATTTCATTTCCTTGTGGTCGTAGGATTGAGGTCCCAGTTCTTTGCTGGCTATTAGCCAAGGGCTGCTCTCAGCATCTAGAAGCTGCTTACATTCCTTACCATGTGGCCCCCTCCATCTTTAAAATCACCGAGAATCTCTCTCATATCAAATCCCTCTCATGTTTCAAATCCCCTTTTCCAGGAATAGCCTAGATCCTTTTAAGGGTTGACCTGATTAAGTGACGTCCACTGAGGATAATTTCCTTTTCTTAAAGTCAACTGATTTAGGTCTTAATTACAGCGGCAAAATCCTTTTCTAGCAGTAATTATATTAGTATTTGGTGGACTATCTGGAAGACGGTATAGACATCAAGGGATGAGAATGGGGAGGGTCTTCTTAGAATTCTGCCTAACACAGGGATGATGATGATGATGATGATGATGATGATACCTTAGAATATTGTTAAATGGATTAAATGAGATATGTGTGTACAGCTCTTCTCAAAATATCCAGGATAATGTTTCATTAAATGGGATCCAATAATCACTAATGTTTATATATATTTTCTTGCCTACATGGATTTTTTAATTATATTATTATAAGCACATTAGAACGATGATGGAATATTTTGCTCATGATTTGGGTATTCCACAGAAAACAGAGGTGCAGGGGCGATAGTCAACAAATTCAAAAAACCCAATGCTGAATCTATTTGCTGGAAGTTGATGTATTAATTCAAATTATTTAAAAACATTGCAGTTAAAAAAAAAAAGAGAGATACCAAGATATAATTTATGTTGGAACTCATGCTCATGTATAATGTAGCATAAAATGAATCACGGGTCTCTGCATTGTTCATTTTTTGCATTTTAATAAAAAAATGCATCACAGAATCCATGCCTTAAACACTGACATTTTCCAGAAAGAATTGTTTTGTTTCTACTCATGCTCTGAATATAAAATGAATACTTCAAATGCTCCATTCATACAAAGGCCTTTATGCCCCCTTTCTCCCTTCAATAGTTTCTGTCTAGAATAGGCAACATTATGCAATTCGGTGATCCAGCTACAACAATGAGAATGCTTCTCACTGGCTGTGGGAAGAAAGACACCTAAGGGGTTAACAGTAATATTTTGCAAATTGAGGCAAGTGAAGAAAAAATACATTAGCATAAGAAAAGGTAGCCTTAGGGAATTTTCCACTCAAATGTTTGGTACTAAGAGCTCTATGTTACCAAGGAAGAGGCTAGAGAAGAGAAACCCTAGTGTCTATGCATTCTTGAAATTCATTGCCATTGTATTCATTCTGCTGGTAAGAAAGACCTCATAGTTATAGAGATGGGGAATAGTTCTTTCTAGTAAAAATAAGTAAATAAATAAAAATTAGATATATTAAGAAAATCACGTTGACCCAAGGATAGCAAAAAAAGCAAAAGGATTCCTCAATGATCAATCCCAGAAAGATTTCTTAAGTATGTCAGGACCAGACTAGAGGTAGTTTGAGATTAAAAGTTAAAGTAGTAAGCAGTGATTTCAGTTGTTAACTAGAATGGGCTCCAAATGTCTGCAATTAAAGTATCTCACATTGAAGTTTTTAACTCATTTCAGAAATTGTATCTAATTCACCGTACCTCAATACTGTTAGCAGATATTTCCCATTTATTAATGTCTTATTTAATAAAGCTTATTTAAAGATTGCTTGATAGAAAATACCCACGTTTGAGTTATGATTATTTTTGCTAGTTGAAAAGATGCAAATTAACTAATTTCCTTAAAACAGAGACTGTACTGGGCTGCCTGGGTGGCTCAGTTGATTAAGTGTCTGACTCTTGATTTTGGCTCAGGTCGTAATCTCACAATTTGTAAGATGGAGCCCTGAGACAGTCTTTGAGCTGACAGTGCAGAGCCTGCTTGAGATTCTCTCTCTTCTCTCTCTGCCCACCCCCACTCATTCTCATTTTTAAATAAACATTAAGGAGAGAGAGAGAGACTATACTAATCAGTTGTTACCTGTTTCTATGGAAATGCTGAATTAGTTTTTGATTCAGTCTTTCTTTTACTCTTATGAATCACCAATAAAACAAAAAAAATATTTCTTCTTGATTCTGAATTTCTCTAGATTTAACACCACAGGGAGCATGACTGTCCAAGTAAATTGTAATGGATTTCATTAATAAATTAAGATGAGAAGAGTCAGTTTATTTTAGGTAAATATTTTATGACATTATATGTACACTAATAGCTCTAGGAGAAAAAGGTGGCAAAAGAATCTGTTGCTTCTTTCTCTTTCTTCCTTTCTTTCTCTCACCCTCCCCTTCCTTCCTTTCTTTTGATTTTAAGTAAACTCCACACCCAACGTGGGGCTCAAACTTACAACCCTGAGATCAAGAGTCACATGCTCTACTGGCTGAGCCGGCCAGGTGCCCCTGTTGCCTGCTTCTAATAAAAGTCTTTCCAGATTAAGATGAGACAGTTTTTGATTACTCAAAATGAGAACAAAGATCAGAGAAGATTGTCCATTCCTGGAAATGTCAAAATGCTGATGATAAAGTTATTTATAAGTTAATAGATAAGGTCAAGTTTTAGGGTCTCACATGTCAGGAATCAACTGAGAGACAAAGTTCTACCATGATCTTACCACTCTATACAGATGACCGCTTTTCACATTTTCTCTGGAATAATGGGATAACCATGCATTTAAATCTTGTTTTTCTTGTCCTTTCCTTTGTTTTTGTATTTCACACATGAATATTAAAGAGCTAGAAGTGACCAAGGTTTCATTTTCACCCCTGAGAAGATGACTTACGTAAATAGATCTGCTTTGTCAACACAAATAACTCTGAAGGACTTGATCAGCAAAGTCCTAAAGTAAGCTTGAAGGAAAAGGAAGAAAGGGGGAAGATTTAAAAAAAAAAAAAAAAAGGACTAAGTAATGCCTCCAACGTCGAAATTATAATATAATTTTGCTTCTCGTTGAGATGTTATGAACATAGCATCCCATATCAACATAAGTGAAAACTGCATTCCAAAACTAAAGCGAAAAACTTTTGATAATCCATAGCATGGTCGCCTAACCCAAGGATGGAAAATTCAGCCACGATTATAGACGGAAACGCTTTTCAGTATAAATTTGTCACTTCTATTCCCCATGCTTATTCATTAGATGTGCCATCCGTTGGCTAGTTCCTGGGGCAAAGTAGCCCATATTGAGAAGTCATTTTTTCAGTGATAATAGATCGTTTCAGTGTACAGGAGAGAGTGTGGGGATTATTGGGTTATTGTTTTATGTGGAACTGGTTCTATGCTACAAAATATTTTATCAACATTCTAAATTAGGCTTTCTGAAAGGAGTTTTCAGATCTACACTTTACACAGGCTGTATATAAACCAGCTCTTTCCTACATGATTGTCACCACACTTGCTAAATCTATGAAGAGAAGGTGAAATAAAAAGAGCTAGACTTTCGAGTCTGAACCGGGGTTTAAAATGCCTGCTTATTTAGAGACAGAATCGTAAAAACAGAAAGGAGCTTAGAGACTATGGACTATACTCTTCCTGCTGCTAAGATCTGCCCTTTTACAGACGGGGAAAGTAAGCACACAGGATCATATTTATTGTGCTTCTTGTATTTTTTCCCCTCAATTCACGAATCAAAAGGCTATGTTGTTTTAATTGTATTTACCATTTCTATTTAACTTCCCAGACCGACTTCCTTTTTGACTAGGAATATAGACTGTTAGGCATGTTGGTATCAATTTGCCCTGGAATCAGGTTACATTAGTTTTCTTTCTTTTACAGTGTGGAGAAATAAATCAAGCCGCTATTGATAAAATAGGACACAGATACCAAAATCCATGGTAAGCACATGCTACTCCATTTTAAATTAGTTAATTAGCTAATTAATTGATGTGTTTCTTCCCAAACTAGTAACAAGGTTAATTTTTTTTTTTAACTTTTAAGTATATTGCTGCTTTATTTCTTTTTATTTCAGGTACATTTCTTTGTAAAGCTATGAAGTTTTATTCCTAACAAAAACACAATTCTCATGGTCTATTAAGTTTAATCAAGGGGCAGAAAGAGGGGCAGAACAGGCAGAGAGTAAGCAACTGTTAGAATCTAGTGGAGAAAAAGGGAACCAGCCTGCAGCTATTAAGAGTAGCAAGTGGATGATAAGGTAGAATTAACTATATAAATAATGCTTTCTGTGAAATAGCAACAATATAATCTTTTTTGGTTTAAAGAAAACCCTCATTGCATGCTGTTGGCCTAGAAACCATAATCATGGGTAACCCTGGTTAATAAATGTAATTCTCCTCAAGTCACACATCCGCTTGAATTCATGCTATCTTAAGGCAACTTGAATTAAACATGTCCACCTCAAGGTATGTTAAATTACAGGAAAAGAGCAAAACCTAGGCTTGTCACATATAATTCAGCCTCCTAAGAGGGAAGGGATCAATCCGCATTGCTCTTATAAGACTGCAGATTCAATATGTCTTTGTTATCCTTAGATTTTTGGAGGTGAGAGTTTCTGGAGCCTATTTCACTCATTTTTATTTGTTGAGGGACACAGCTATTATCATGTGCAAAATTAATGAGTTCCAGACTCTTTTGCTCTACAATAGCATACATCACCAAAAAGAGAAAAGCACCTCAAACCCCATGTCAAAAACCTACTAGTTACTACAACACAATCCCAAGACAACAAAAGATCTCATTGGGCAATTCCTGTAACTTACAAAGCAAAGCTTATGTTTAAAGCAATAGAAAAATAGTTTTAATTTATTGCTTGCAAAGCACATGTTCTCATTAAAATATCCACCTTATTTGTTCAGATGACATTGCCAGCGTCTATCAACAAATGCTCTGTCAAATATTTCTAAGCCAAAAACCTCATTAGAGGCCACTGAAAATCAAAGAAACTTCAACAAACTTTGGTGATAGAAGTATGAAAATCTGCTGTATGTATTTAAACATATAAAACTAGTTAGAAAGTATCTGAGAGGGGCACCTGGGCTTGGTTGGTTGGGCATTCGACTCTTGATTTTGGCTCAGGTCATGATCCCAGGGTCATGGGATCAAACCCCATGCTGGGCTCTATGCTCAGCATGGATTCAGCTTAAGATTTTCTCTCTCCCTCTCTCTCTATGCCCTTCTTCTTTACTTGTACACACACTCTCTCTTCTAAAATAATAGTAATAATAAAAAGAAAGTATCTGAGAAATATTGAAGCTTTGACTACTTTCCTTGGATGAAAGAATGTTGGCTATATTCATTTTTAGGGAACATGATATGGATTATGCCAGGTCATGACATGCAAATGTTTATAAGAAAAGACTGTACTTAAGGAATTGTGGATTCAATTGAGAAATTGGAGATTATATATATACTTGTATAAATTACAAAACCAATCTGCATATGTTAAATACCAACTGCATAATGAAGACAATTATAAAATGATAACTAGAAAAGTTTAAAAGTTTTCAAAGTTTATTTTTATCTGAGAGGGAGAGAGAAAGAAGGGGAGGCAGGGGCATGGAGAGAGAGAGTGAGAAAGAGAGAGAGAGAGAGAGAGAGAGAGACTCCTAAGTAGGCTCCATGCTGTCAGCATAGAGCCCTATGTGGGGCTCAATCCCACAAACCATGAGATCACGACCTGAGCCAAAATCAAAAGTCAGATGTTCAACCAACAGAACCTACCCAGGCACCCCTCTCATGCTCCTTAGTAGCTTTTAAACATTACAAATATAATTCATGTTTGTGGCAACAAATCAAACAATACAGAGGTTTACTAAGAAAAAGTTAATATCTGCTCTATTCCATCCAGTTCATGATAAAATACTTCATTACAAAGGATAATTATGGGATATAAACAGAAGATTTGGTTTTTCCAGGAACACTACTGGGACTGAAGGTCACAGAAATATTCACCAAGTAGGTAATTAGTAAGGTGACTTTGGAAAGGTGAGCCTAAGATATTCCTGGCAGAGTGAACAGCAAGAGTAGACTCCAAAGTGGGAAAGAGTAGATCAGATTAGAACCAGTGGGGCTGGACTATGGAGACCAGTGGGGGAGAAGCAAGGTAAGGGTCAGATTTCACAGAGCCTTGTAACTAGGTTAGGGACTTTGGATTATAACTTAAGAACAAAGAGAATTCATTGGACGATTTAAAGTAGAAAGCAACGTTGGGGCACCTGGGTGGCTTAGTCGGTTAAGCGTCCGACTTTTGCTTAGGTCATGATCTCGCGGTTCGTGGGTTCGAGCCCCGTGTCAGGCTCTGTGCTGACTGCCAGCTCAGAGCCTGGAGCCTGTTTCAGAGTCTGTGACTCCCTCTCTCTCTGACCCTCCCCTGCCCACGCTGTCTCTCTCTCTCTCTCTCCTAGAAATAAATAAAAATAAAACATTTAAAATAAAAAATTTAAAAAAAAGTAGAAAGCAACGCAATCTCATTTTTAAGATCACTCTGGAATGTTGTACTGCTGTACAGAGAAAGAATTGAAAGGTGACAATAACTTGTAGGAGGATCAGCAAGGAGACTATTTCATTTTTTACAGGCACATCCTGAGTTTTCAGTATGACTCACAAACAAACCAAAATAAATAGTGGTTATGGAGGCTATGGGGGGAGAGGAAGGATTTGAGTTGAGTTTTCAAGGAAGCGCAGGCTTTAAATAAATGAAAAAAAAGAAGAGGAATAGACGTTATTTGCTATCATCATGGAGAATAAGAATGCATTCAGCACTCTGATGAAGCAGGTTTTAACATTATCTTAATTTTACAAGTGACGAAATTGAACTTCAGAGGTTAAGATCCATGACCAAGGGTCACAGCACAAAATATTTCAGCCAAGTTGACTGGTCCCATTGATCTGGGTTGGGATCTGGGCTTGGACATTTTAAAAGGGCTCTCTGAGTGATTGCAATGTGCAGCCAGGGTTGAGAACTGCTAGTGAAAACTGAAGAAAGAGGGGACTGAGCCTTGGGGAGTTGGGGGGAGCAGGGGGGTGTGCCCACACTGGGGACAAGATGAATGAAAGCTACAGTAAGAGAAAGGGGCCCTGGAGGAAAGGCCGTTGAGACAATACAAGGCTCTAAAGCCAGTGAAGAATTATAAACAGAGGTGTTTAATACAAGGAAATGGAAATCCAAGAAAACAATACCAGACAAATGTTTGGAAGTTATCAGTGGTCTCAGAAAGAGCACTGAAGGAAGGGTAGGATGATTTGAGTCAATACAACCAGCACTAAAGCATTTTTGTCCAAAAAAAAAAAAAAAGAAGAAGAAGAAGGGGAAGAATTTTTGTCTGCTGACATAATGGAGGCAAGTCCACTCTGTTTTTAAGGCCAGAAGTCCAGTAAAGGACAATTAAAGGATTTCCTCCATTCTGAGGCATACTTTTTAAACTTTGGCTTTTTCAAAATCAGGATGTGTTTTATAATAGCTGTTTACAAATGTAGTATACAGATGCGGTGCCTTTTTTTCCCCCTTCCCACATAAAGCTATTATTAAATCAATGGTGTTATACAATTTATTGCATCCTAAAGACCAATAAAGATATACTTTGACAAACATGAAATGAAAACTTGCTCTGTGCCAGGTGCTCAGGATTAAAGAATTAATAAGCAGCATCCTTACTTTCCAAGTCACAAAGAGAGAGAGAGAGAAAGAGAAAGATGTAAACAGAAGATTTTTAAACAATATACATTGATGGAGAACAATTGTAGTAACTGGGTGTGGTTTACCTCTTTTTACCCTTCTGAATTAAAGAAAACATTCTCTTGTTTCAAATATCTTGTTTCTACAGAAACAAGATAATATGACCCAATTGGTTCACTCATTTTCATATGGTCTCTTCTATTTGCAATTGGTGTTTTCCATTATATACAGACAGTATTTCTAATTTCAACAAGAAGGATAAAAAGCACAGATAGGAAACAGAAGAATAGTTTACAATCAAATTAAGAGGTCATAAGAGAATGCCCTGTAAACAGTGAACCAGCAGGGCTTTTCATTTTAAGAAGTTAAGTGAGTTCTGCAGAAGCTGCATGCTGTTACTGAAGATTGTGGGGCAATCTGTTTTCTTCTTCTTTTCCTTACGTTTCACACAGTGCTTGGCATGTATGGGCACTCCATACATATTTGCTGAGTCAGATACAAAAGACAAATCCCAGTTCTTATACTCATAATGGTACAAATTGGTATAGACCAGGTCCAAGAAGCCGGGGGAATTCAAGCCATGAGGGCTTCTTGAGAGATGAAATTTAACCTGGGTTCAGAAGAAAGATTTTAGGAAAATCTCTGGCTGCCTCCTTGGGTGGATTTTTTTATTCATGCAAATGAAAAGACTTGCTGAGGTGATTGTATCAAAAGAATTATTCACAGGTAAATCATTCCAGAAAGGAGCTGCTGACCTGTCTCTGATCTAATGTTGCCTCTTTGCCAACCAGGGCCCATGATATTGGCCACTTATTTGCTAATTTATAGATTTATCTTAGGGATAATGCCATAAGGAACACTTCAGATTCCTGTGGACAGTAGATGGGGGTGGAGGGCGGTTGTCAAGAAGGCTGTAAATTCCAAGGTAAAGCCCGGCAAACATGCTGTTCACCATGAAAAGAAGAGCAGCATGAGTTTTAAAGGATCAGAAATAACGACAACCTTCTCTATCTTTTCAATTACTTGAGAGTCACAGAGACACAACTCTTTTCAGAATGTTGACTCTCCCGATCTGTTTTCTTATTGTCTGCCTTTTCGTAATGACAGGATTTGCTAGTCAGCACCATCCTCAAGAGGTACACAGCATGGCATCATGGAAAGAGTGCTGAGTTGAAATTCAAGAAAGCTGGTCTTGCTAGGAAT